CTAGAAATCATCTAATGACCAATTCCTCATGCGGCTGCCCCTTCAGCAGGACCTGGTGTTGGAGGGGACCAGGAGGTAAACCTAGCACAGGAGCCAGGAGTGCTACCCTGCTTGTGCCATAGAGCCCACCTCCCAGGTTTAAAAAACAATCTACTAATCCACAATGTCCCCCCAGTGCATGCTGGGTGCCAACAGGGGTCTAGCTTAAGGGCACCATCCAAACAGGCGACCCCACACCCAGCCGAAGACCTGTGGGCTCTGCCTGGGCTGCAGCCCACACATTTCCCACCCTGCTCTCCTGGGTCTTGCTAAGCTTCCTGTGAAGAGCTCTTGCCTGTCTCTGAGCAGCCATCGATGAAACCCAATACAAACCCAGAATGTTGCCCAACGCTCATGGTTTGCCCAAAGGCAGCATTCAGGCCAGCTGAGCCCAGCCCAACACCCTCCCATCTAAAATGCTGACAGCGTGGTTCTCCAGGACAGACCAGCAAACACCCAGCAGGGCCTCTCAGAGTTCCGCCAGCCCCCAAGACCCAGGCTTCTCAGGGGAGACTTGACAGCTCTATGATGTATTCATGCCTTCACACACATGCACATGCACCACGCGCTGCACGCACAAATCCTGGTTCTGCCACTGCTGCCCCTTGGAGGGGCTCGCCTCCTCGGGGGGCCGAGCTTCCTTGTCCACAAGATGGGGAGATAACGTAAATTCTTTACAGTTGGGATTAAATAAGACTATAGAAAAGCACTGAGCACGAGTTAGCAGGCTCTCTTAATTATATCGACAGCTAACTCTCCTCAGGCACTTTCATCACAAAGTACTTTCACACATCCATTATGAAATGAATACGCAAATGACAGAATGAGGACAGGGAGAACAGGTATCATGGTGTCCGCTTCACAGATGAGGACAACAAGCCTTGGAAGGACAGTGACTCACCCCAGATTACGAAGTGAATTAGTGGCAGAGTTGAGAATCAGTCCTGGGGCTCTACTTAATCCAAAGCTGTTTCGGGCCTGCCAAACGGTATGGGTGCAGATTATACAGAAACATGAACTAAAATCCAAATAAAACATATGTGAAGACAGAGAAGGGACCAAAGCTGAGAGTAACAGGCAAGGATAAAGAACGATGGCCCTTGCCTAGTTGGTCTAGGCTACCTGTGACAGGCAAGTCACTTTCAAACCAGGGTGAGGAACTTGGGATGTGGGTGTCTTCAGGTGCTTCCCCCAAGAGATTACTCATCTCTTCACTGAGAGAGGCCTGGAAGTGCCTCACCTTGTCAGCATCTATGTTATTCTAGGTGGAAGTAGGGAGACAGAAGGGAACAATAAGGGGACTCAGGTCCCAGCTGGGGCCCACAAAGGACACAAAATCCACATGTCCCAGCTCATGAACCTTACTCACAGGCAAGACTCTTCTCACCCTAAAACTCTTGGTTTGGAAATAATTCTGACCAATCTGATCAGTTTCTTAGTTCTACTGGAGAAAACTAACAAATTAGAAATGAACAGAAAAACTGCTTGCTACCCCTAGACACACAAATGTCATTTCTGGCTGCTCTCACACAGGGAGGGACAAAGGAAAAAGAACAGACCAGAACTCAAAACAAGGCCACCTGGGGGTGCCAGGCACAGGGGCAAAGTGCTCTTCAGAGCACAGTAAACCCAGGAGACAATGCCGTGACCAAGCACAACCATGAGGACAACGATCCTGGCATCTAGAGGAGATTAAATCATGCCTAGCATTTTTTTGTTGACAAAGGAAGGGATAGAAATATTTCAGCGAGTCCTGGTGAAGTAAGAGTACTTTTGAGGGTAATACGGATTCTTAGCTCACCAAAAAAACCTAGATACCAAGGACACCTCATTCCCAAGGGATTTCGAGAATCAAAAAATTCTGCTGCAACAGAAGAGATTCCTCTATAAAATACTGCAGAAGTCAAAGTTTTCATTAATTCTTTCCAGGCCCTTCTCCTTCCTTACCCCTCTCCCCACCAATCTGCGCTAATGAGGTTTTGTTGGACCCCATCCTGAGCCACAGGTAGAGACTTAAACTGGCTCCACCCTCCCTGTGGAGCTGAAGCCAGGGGTGACATCACTTCTACAAGGCTCTGAGCCCAAGCGGAGGCAGCTAGTGCCTCTCCCCCACCCCCACCCACTCTGCCAGGCCACGGGGAAATGTCTCCACTAGCCCTCATAATTAAGGCAAAAGGGATTTTATGCCTTTCAAGAAAGAGACAAGAGAAGGAGAGAAAACCAGCAAATACTATCCCAGAACAAGCAATTTTTCTTACATGGCAGAAACAAAAGACCACAGGAAACACACAGATACACACACACAGAGAAATCTTTTTAGACAAACCTGTTTTCGTCTCTTGGGAGCGGTTTTGAGCAAGCTCCTGCCCTAGCAGCTTCCCCTGCCCATTCAGAGTCAGGCACTCAGGAGTCACTCCCTACCTCGCTGGTCCCAGGGGAGTTCTGACCTGCTTCCCACTGGGGCCAAGGTGAACCTTTGGACAGGCCAGATTTCTGCCACCTGTGGGCACCTTCTCCCATTTTAAGCAAATCCCAGCTGCCTTATTTCTTTTGGGGAAGCAGTAAAGGAGGGCTCTGGGAAGGCACTTTATGCCCTGTTATGCCCCACCCCCCCTTAGGCAAACATGGGCATTCACCATAAGAGGGAGAGAGCAGGGCTGGGAAAGAGAAACACACTAAACTTTAAAATAAAAGTGAGCACCTAAGCTCCAAGCCAGAGTCTGACCCCAAAGCTCAGCTGGAGCACTCCCTCCTCTGGAAGGCCTTCCTCCCTCCTTTCCCCGTAGACTCTCCTGCCTCCTGGGCCTTGTGTTTCCATAAAATGTCAACATTTCTGGGTGAGAAATAGCCCCTCATCCTGCAGTATCTGCCCCTATCCAGCCCACAGAAGACTCCAGGAAACTCAGTTCATAGAGAATCCCAAACTCCATCTGCCTCCCCAGGGTTAAGGGGCGCTGGGGGACCCGAGCTCACAGGAATGTCAGCCTCACCCAAGGCAGGCAAAGGACCCACCAGCCCCGCTGACTCTTGCTGGAAATAGGTGGAGCGCCCCACCCGGCATCCCTGCTCAGGCCCCATCTTGGGCCTGGAGAGAGCGGAGCAGGGAGGTGATGCCAGGCGGGGCAGGGAGGTAAGCCAAGCGCTCCACTGTCTCCTCCAGAGTCCTAACTGCAATTCCAGGCGCGATCTGAGTCCCGCAGAAACCACAACCCTAAGAGCGACTTCTCGGACTTGAAAGCCAGGAGTGCACTGGAGACCCGGCTCAGAAACTGTACCCCTCCCGGTGGCTTCCAGAGACAGCAACCCACACACTCCCACTCACCAGCAGCGCAACAGGCAGCAGGGGCCTCTCCTGGACTTCAAATGTTTGGAAACTCGGGCCACTTGGGAAGCAGGCAAGGCACTTTACATATTAGCCTCAAAAGCCACAGTACCTGCCTCCCCTCCTGTGAGCCAGACCCCCATAAAATACCCCAAAGCTCTCGCCAACTGGTAGCTACGATAACAGTGGGCAGCTCTCACAGCAGGTCGCTTGTCCAGATGTCACATTAGAGGTGAGGGCCCCGCGTGCCCACCCCCACCTCCGGCAACGCTCCCTCCCTGCCCAAGCGCCTCCTTTTGCCAGAGCTGGGGAAGTCGCGCTGTCCAGATGTGTGGCGAGACCGCCACTTCCGGAAGGGGAAGAGCCCCCGGCTCCGCACCTCCCCTCTGCATCCCCAGGGACGGCCGTGCGGCCTCCGGGACTCCGGTGCGGGAGCTGGGGGTGGACGTGGGCACCGGGCGGCCGGCGCTGACACCTGGCGGCGGCCCAAGTCCCAGACCCCGTCAAGGGGCAGGCGCTGCGGGGCGGTTCCCAGGAAAGGGTTACAGGGGCCGAGAACAAAGCGCCCCCATTGGGAAGGCGGGCTAGCGGACGGCGGTTGGGGCGGGAGATTCACTTTCTGGGGACCCTCAAGGCAGCTATTTTTCGAGCACGTCCCTCTTTAAAGGAGGTTGACCCCCGGCAAAAGTGGGTGCTGCATGCAACCCAAAGGCCTCCCCCAGCCTCCAACTCCACATTTGTCCCTCTTTCTCCCCAGCTCTACTGGGCGGGCCAAGGGACCCGCCTTCCCTCCGCGCGGCTTCAGCACAAAGCCGAGCCGGGGAGGGGGAGGCCATTCCCGGGTCCACTCGCGTGGTAGGCGCCCGTGCGCCTTGGCCGTGCCCGGCACGGGAACGCGCCCTCCGGGGCCAGCTCAACTTCAGTAGCCCAGAAGTTGGGCTTCTCCGGGTCTCCAGCGTTCCGAGGCCAACTTTCAGGAACCTCCCGCTGCCGGCTCGGCCGGGCTCACCTTCAGCAGCCAACTGAAAGCTCGAGAGCCCTGCGGCCGCCCGCATACCCCACGCAGCCCTGGCCCGGCTCCCCGGGCCAACGCGCCCGCCCGCTCTCGCGCCGGCTCCGCTGCGCCCAAACTTGCCTCCGCGCAAGGGGCCGGGCGCCCGGGCTCGGCGGCGCTTGGGGCGCAAGCCTGCGGGTCTGGTTTGAATTAGAGTCTGCGGGAGGGGCGCTGTGGCCGCGGTCACTGCATCCCCTGGGTCACCGGCAGGGGCCCAGCCGCCGCGGTGGCCGGGACGAGGGGGGTGGGAGCGGACGACCCTGGGCGCTGGGGCGGGCTGGCGGGCTCCAACACATGTGGAGACGTTTTACATAATTGACCGCTGGGCCCGGGCGCAGGCTCCGCTCGGTGGGGCGTCCCAGCCCCCCCGCCCCGAGCAGCGAGACCCAGGCGGCGCCCACCGACGGCGGAGAGAATTGGGGTGGAGCCCCGGTTTCGGGGCTCACCGTTCCCTGGCCCGCCGGACTAGCGCGGGAAGAAGGGAAGTCCCAGCTACCCCTCCCCCTCCACGTGCCGCTGCCGGCATCGGCCGGTGGCTCGCCCCGGCTTCCCGCCGCCTCCCAGCCCGGCCCCGGCCGCACTCACCGGGACGGCCGGCTGCAGGCGCAGCGCCAGCGCGCAAAGCCAGAGGCAGAGCGCCGCGCGCTTCATGCTGCCGGGACCAGCGGCTGGAGCTCGGCGGGCTGCGCGGATCGGGGCTGCGGGCCGGCTCCGTGGGTTGCGCTGCGCGATGCTCCCTCGGGCGCCTGCCCAGCGCTCTGCTGTCCTAGGCGAGGGCTTCGGGGTGCCCCGGCTGGAGTCCGGTCTCCACTACTGGATTCCTCCGCGCTCGGATCGGATCCGGCCCGCACCTCTCCCGCCGAGCTCCGCCTTATAATAAACCCACAGGCCCTTAGCCGTTGCAAAAACTAGCCCCCCACCCCCAGCTCCGCCAGGTCTAGAGGCCAGCCCCAGTCCCCACCCCCCAGAACCCCGCCCCTTGAGCCTCCAAGCAGGGCCCGGCCCCTTGGAATGCCCCACCCCCGGCCAAGCCCCGCCCCACCCGCCCCGCCCCCTGGGGTCCGAGCCCGCCCCCTCCCGCCGGCTAGGGGCTGAGCTTTGCCTTCTTTGGGAGTCGTGGTTCCCACGAGCTGTGGTTCCCGGCATCACAGCTCGGCTGCACACGGGTGGTGAGGCCGGGCCGCACCCCCGTCCGCCCCCGGCCCAGGGTCTTGGGGCGCTGCCCGGGAGAGGAGCAGAGGGTGGGAGTTGGTCCTCTGTGGGCCGAGTCTGCAGCGCCCTCTGGGCGTGAGCGCGGAGCGCGCTCCAGGTGCGCGGGAGTCCCGGCCACCCGGCTCTCGCTGGGATCGCTTCCCCAGCCCTGCGGGGACTCGGGCGATGGAGCCTGAAACCGACCGACCCACACACACTGCCCGTCTCTCCTCCGGCCGCGGGTGGGATTTTTACATGCCCTCGGTTCTCTCAGCCCTCCACGAAGTGCTGGAAACGGGGCCTTCTTTAAACGGACACGCTTGGGAAGGGCTGTTAAAACGTTCTCAGCGGCTTTCTGTAGAAGACAATGCCCTCTCTCTTCATACTCTGAGCTAAAAGGAGAAATAAATAACTGCTTTGTTCCCGGGTGACCTCGGGCATGCTGGTCTGAGAAGCACCGGGTGGGTGAGCTCCTGCTCCTTCGTCATTCCTTGCTTGGCCCTGGACCTCATGAGTGTTTGCGTCCCCCGTTGGGCACCTCAGTCCAAAAAGGCTATTGAAGGTCTGCGGGTGTGAGGCTGACGGCCCTGAGAGCAAAGGGAAAGGACAGGCGGGAAGGCAGGAGAGACTGGTGCCAAATGACCTTAGTACCTAGACCTGGAGACCAAAGATGGCGCCCTCCTTACCCACCTTCCGCAGGCAGAGGACAAGAGTGAGTTGGCTGAACTGGGAACCAAGGTCTCCTAAGGCTTCCTGGCCTCTTAGGAAGTTTCCAGTTTCTCCTTAAAAGGATTAAATCTTCCTGGGTCATGCAGGAAGGGACAATTGACTATGGACTCCTGAGTTCTCCTCCACCCATGCGGAAGGTTTTCCTAGGAGGAAGCAGCCCCCTTCGTCCCCATTTCGGCCACACTCTCCCCTCAGAGCACTAAGGCCCTGCTCCTGAATACCTGTTGGACCTGAACACCTCTCCCTTTGGGGGTCTCCGTTTCCCCAGGCCTGTCTGTGGAGTGAAGATCCTCCTCAGGGTTCTGTGGGGCTGATGCAGGCTCCCTGAGTGCCCTGGCGATGGGTCACCCGCAGCATGGCACCACACGGGTCCAGGAGGGCCCCTCCAGGAGCGCAGGGAGTCCTGGGAGGTTAAGAATGTTGTTTTTGAAGGCCCTGACTGGTCCACCAGAGGCTAGCTCCACGAAGCAGCTGAAGCCAGCTCTTCTGATTTTCCAACACAGTTTGGTGGGAAAACAGGTCCATTGGGAATCTTACCTTTCTCTACTGCTCAGACAGAGAAAATTGAGGTCAGGGAGGGTTTGATGGAGTCTTTTCATTCATGTTTTTTAAATCACCAGTGGTGTTTCTTTCAAACAATAATTTACCCTAGGTCAATGTGTCTTTGGGGCAAACAGGAAAGAGGAGGGGTCCCACAGAGGGGTCCAAGAAGGCCATGTACACAGAAAATTGGAGGGTCCAATCTTGCCCCACTTGCTTTCACCCAAATTCTGCAAGAGAGCCTCTTCCTCCAGGAGCCTGTCTCAGAGTCCCATGGTACTCAGGAACCTGTGCCTCCTCAGATTTCCTGCAGCGCACACGCTTGGCAATGGCCATTGCTGTCTGTATTCATCACCCCTTCCTCTGGCCCTGAGACCTTCGTATAATCTAGCAACTAAAGGGTTAACACCTGGATCAGCAGGAGGCTTCTAACCTCCTCTCCGGGGACACTATCTCAAGGCCTCTGTCCTGATTTGTGTTAGAGCCATGGGTAATTAAATATTTTCAGTGTCATCTTTGGTGAATCAAAGAAAGTTCCCAGAAGGCAAGGCCAGTGTCTCCTCCTGCGTTTCTCTCTCTTGTTCTTCCCACAGACATGCAGGGCTTCCTTTGGGGAGAAATGCACGCTATTGCGCTATTGCACTGGAGCTGCAGCCCATGGAGTGGGTAGGCAGGAGGAGGGAGGAGGCCAGCACCTGAGCACAGGGTGCCCGTTGCTACATCTGCAGCCCATGGAGTGGGTAGGCAGGAGGAGGGAGGAGGCCAGCACCTGGGCACAGGGTGCCCGTTGCTACATCTGCAGCCCATGGAGTGGGTAGGCAGGAGGAGGGAGGAGGCCAGCACCTGGGCACAGGGTGCCCATTGCTACATCTGCAGCCCATGGAGTAGGTAGGCAGGAGGAGGGAGGAGGCCAGCACCTGAGCACAGGGTGCTACATCAGGCACCTAAACCGGCACAGGCATTCTCTGGGCAAGCTGGCAGCATCTATCTAAACTTAAAGTGCATGTAGCTCCTTTAACTTGGGAATTCTACTTGGTGCATTTCCTCTTCAGAAGTATTTTCACCAGGCTGGTCCGAAGGTAGTGAGTTATCTCACGTGATTGTACACAGTCAGTTACAGAGTGAACTCCTTGTTCTACTACTTTCCCCCCTCCTCACTACTGCACTTGACTAGTCTTAAAAAAAAAAAAAAAAGAAGTATTTTCACCAGTGTCCAAGGAGGCACCTCTGAATGTTCCCTGATAAAGGAAAAGTAAAATAAACCAGAGTGTTCTCACACTGTGGAATACGATGCAACATTTTTTTTAATAAAGAGGATAGTTAATTCCTGACATGGGAAGTTTTTCAAACCCTATTTTTATGTGAAAAGAGCAATTTAAAGAGTGACCTATTATTTTCTTAAAACAACTCACCAGCCCAAAGTGGGGCCTATGCCTTCCTGAACCATCACTGGCAAAGGAGGTTTGATTACTGGTATGGTTTTAGATTAATCATCTAGGGGCTTGGATTTGCGGGAGCCAATACCATGTCCACTAAACATTTTGACTTCTTAAAGAGGATCAGATGTGTGTGAGGGCATTCTTACTTCAAGATGATACAAAACACCAAGTTTTTCATGCCAACTTCTTCCCCTTGTGAAGCATTTTAAAAGACAGCTAACTGTTTCATTGTAAACCATTTCAAACATATAATACAGAATAGCACAATGAACACCTGTGAAACTACCACCTAGTTTACCAAATCTTGATATGATGTTTTTATTTTCTTTTCCTTCTATCCTTTTTTATGAAATGGAACATTACAGATTGTGATGGTTAATTTTATGTGTCAACTTGACCAGACTAAGGGATGCCCAGGTAGCTGGTAAAATATTATTTCTGAGTGTGTCTGTGAGGATACTTCCAGAAGAGATTTGCATCAGTAGACTGAGTAAGGTGGATCCACTCTCACCATTGTGGAAGGCACCATCTGATTCATTAAGGGCCCAAATGGAACAAATATGTGGAGAAAGGGCAACTTCTCTCTCTTCTTGAGCTGGGACATCCATCTTCTGCCCTTGGACATTGGAACTCCTGGTTCTCAGGCCTTTGGACTGAGCTCCAGCTCTCTTGGGTCTCCAGCTTACAAATGGCAGACTTCTTGGTCTCCTTAGATATATATCCTGTTAGTTTTGTTTCTCTGGAGAATCCTAATCCACAGATACAACTGAATTTTCCCAACTCATGTTTTGAGATTTATCCATGTTGATACAGATAGCTCTGGTTCATTTATTTTAATTGCTCTACAATATTTCATTGCATTATAAAAATGACACAGTGTGTTTATCCATGGACATTTGGTGGTTGTTTCCATTTTTTTTTTAATGTCACATACATTGCTGGAGTCAACTCTTATACTTGTCTTCTTGAGTGCATGTGCAAGACTTTCCCTAGAAGAGCAGTTCCTGGATTATGAGTATGAACATCTTCAACTTCCTTAGGAATTGCTCTAAGCAATTTGCTCTCCAGAGGGCTTATAGCAATTTACACACGCAACAGCAGTTAGGGGAGTTTCCATTTTTCTACATGTTCTCTATGACTTGGTATTGGACTTTTTATATTTTGTCATCTGATGCAGGTAAAATGATATCTCATTGTTGTTTGATGAATGTCCCACCCATTATGAAACATTTTCCTGAAGCCTTTTGTTACCACCTGGTTGGGGCAGACACTTCTGGTTGCTTCCCGTATCTATTCTCTTCTTCTTTGTCAATAAGAGAGCCCCTCAATTTCAACTGGACTCATAGCCACTCAAAGACTGCTCTTCCCAGCATCTCTTACAGCATGTGTGGCCTTGTGCTTGGGGTTTTGCCAGTGGTCCATGAGCGGAAGTGGTACATGCACCTTCAGGGAAGTGTCAAAGGAAAGAGGCATGCCCTCCCTCCTCCCTTTTCTCTTTCCTCCTGGCTCGAGGCAGATGTGTGGCTGCTGCTGGAGCAGTCATCTTGCACCGTGAAGTGAACTTGGGAACAGAGGCCATGCATGGCAGAGGAACACGTTAGGAGAAGGTTGGGTCCCTGGCCAATGGAGTGCAATGCCAACCCTTATACATGATGGGAAAATATGCTTTTTTGTTGTTGTTTAAGACACTGTTCTGAATTTTCTGTCACTTGCCAGGATATCTAGTCCTAACATTACGCTGGTAAATGTAGTCCTCTGTACATGACTAAGCGGATAATCCCACGAGAGTGTGGGGAGGATGGCTGGAAGAGGGAGGAAGAGGCACTCGGGGAGAAGGTCTCGAGAAACAGCTTTGAAAATGCCGCCAATAAGAGCCTCTGGGGGGCAGCCCGGACCGTATGGTAACTTTTGGATTTGACTTAAGTCACATGACAACTCCTGTCCCCAAAGAGGTGTAGAGCGGAAGGAGCAGTGGTTGGCAGAGGTTTCTCTGAGGCCCGTCTGGAGGCCACACAGGCCC